GACAGCACCGCCGGGCCCATGTTGTGTACACATCCTAAAACGTTTGCAAGCTGTGGCAGATCTCACCAGTACTGCTCAGCAGTAGCAGTAGCAACAACGCTTGCAACGAAATACCTACCTTCCGCGACCGGCACCTGCTCTTCGAGGACGACCTGTACAATGGGGAAGGGAGAGGGGAAAAGCAAAAGCGAGCTCATGCGCTTGCAAAGCAAAAGCGAGCTCATGCGCTTGCAACTAAGTGCTCACCATGGCTGCCACCGCAGCCGTTTCAGGTGTATGAATGCGAGAAAGAGGATCAGCAACATTCTTGCAGCCCGGCCGGTACTACCACGTGTAGTGGAAGCAGCTCAGGAACTCTTGCCGCCGTGCTTGGCGTGTGACCATCATGAAGGTATCCTGTGCGGTCTCAAGGTACACAGGCACCACTCCTGTGTAGGGCATTGAGTACACAGTAGCTCTTGCTCTGTGGTAGTGTAGTTGACTTCGGCAGGTGTGAACTTCTTGCTGGTGTAGGCGACGGGGTGGCCATCCTGCAGCATTGCACCGCCTGTGCCGTAGATGGCTGGCGTCGGTTACTACTTTGAAAAGGGTTTGGTAAGGTCAGGAAGGCGCAACAAGGGGCGTTGACGAGGGTGTTTCATTTTTAATGCCGTCGAATCCTGCTGGTGCATATTCTTCCATTCGGGTCAGCCGTTTGCTGCCGGGGAGGGTCGTGAGTGGAGTCGCCAGCGACGAGTACCCTTGGATGAGCTTGTGGAGGTAGTTCGCAAGGCCCAGGGAAACGGCATCGATTTTTCGGGGATCCACCGTAAGTCCATCGTGACCAACGATGTGGCATAGGAAGTTGACTTTGGGCTTGTTCATCTCGCACTCTTCACGCTTTGCACGGAAACACGCCCCTTTGAGGTATTCGAGTACGGCACATGTGCTCGAGGTGGCTGGTCGGATCTTTTCTGAAGATAAAAAGGATATCGTCTAGGTAGACAACCCAGTAACCAGCGTCGATGTGCTTTTTGGGCGGGGCTCCAGCGTGAAGCACCCAGGGGGCCCCCACTCTGTAGGATTGCCCATGTCCGTGTGGCCATGCGGCCGTGTGGCCGTGCGGCCGTGCATGTAACACCAGGCAAAGAGTACTCAGGGAGATGCCAGGGGAGCTGATCCCTTCTTACATTCCTCCCCTCGACTGAACGTCCTCGGGCGCCCCCAGGCGTGTCCCGTAGGATTTATTTAGATTGTTTTGAGGTCCGTAGGGGATTGTGAGTATGTTTGATAGTGTGTCATTTCGTCAGTCTCCGTCCGAGATGGAGCCCTTTGTATTTACTATGCTGGTAGACTTCTCGCCCACCCGGGCATCCACCTTTGGGGTAAGAGTATGCTGCATCGTACATAGTGTGCGATCTGTCTGCTGCTGGATTTAATCCGGGGACTTCCCACCCTCTAGCAATTCGCACCATCGGAAATCAGCCACTTCACTTCAGGGAGACCCAGGCCCACTTATGGTCCGGGGGTACGATGGGAGAATGAGAATAAGGAGACGTTGTGGCGGCTCGTGATGGATGGCATCCTCCTACCTGGCAACACGCACCTAGCTTCCATGAATCCCAGAACGCTGTGGATGTGGCGGATTCGGTGGAGCATCTGGTCAGCCATGCTCGCCACGCATATAATATCTCAGGAAGCGGCGGTAGGAGGAGTCACCCGGAAACAGATCTGGCAAGTACAGCCCCCAGCTGGCTGTGAACAGGCTGTATGGGACATAGTCGCCCTGTCGGCCCTGTCGGCCATGGAAGTCGGCGGATGCTGCCTGAGGGCAACTGACTGGGTTGTTGCTGGGCATGTTCGTGTTGCTCGTGTTGTTGGTATCCTCTTCTAAGTGGCGCGGCGCTGTAGTCTGCTGATGTATTATCACGGCGTCCTTGGTTTTGGAGACTGTGCCGGGCCTGATTGTACGGTTCTGGCTTCAACGCCGGCCTGTGACCAGCATCGGTTCCGTGCCGACCATGCTTTCCAGCGTGGTCGCCGTGGTTAATCTTGCGTTGCTTGTTCAGCGGGTCCGCAAATGTTTCGTGGCCGTCTGCGACTTCGCCCGGCAACTCGCCATCCTCAAGGTCGCTACCGTTATCCATCTGTGTTGGATTGACCCATACTAGATGACTCGATTTTCCTCCTTTCTCAACAACACCACTTACTACTAAGTAGGACTACGTCCCGCTCACCAGAGTCCAGGGAGGGAGACCAGAGTCCTTGATGCAGCGCTTGCATTTTTGCTCGTACAGCCTGGCCGTACACGAAGAGACAGAAACAATGGCAACAACTGGTTGGTGTTGGATTACGGCACTGTATTACACACATCTACATCTACATGTACATCTACATCCATCCATTCATCGACACATACGTGCTGTACATATAATTATGTACACATATACTATGTGTCAGTATATAAAATACATGCTATACATATACATATATCTTGCTATTATCTATATGTACATATGCCGTACATGTCATATAGTTTAAGAGCTGTCCGATTATTCCAAACGAACTAAAATTGCCCAAATGCCTTGAAGCCGAGCGCACCGAGTGCGTTTAGGGTTTCGCTTTGTGGGCAGGAAAGACGCAGACACCCAGCTCCAGGGGGGAGAAGGCACGAAGGTCGAGGAGGCAAAGGCCGGCCACAAGACGAACAGGACTAGAAGGCGGCGAGGAGGCTTTCCTCCCCTTCCCTCCCCTTCCCCTTCCCTTCCCCGGAATGCCGCCATCCACACGCAGCATTCCTACCGGCGCGGGTGTTCACGTTTTGGAGCTGCTGGCCCATACCTGGGGGCTGCTGGCCCTGGTCATCAGAGCTCCAGGAATGGCCCCCAGGTATGGGGCACCCCCAATGTTACGCATTAAAGGAGTTGTAACGCAACTCCAGGAGGTGTAAAACACACACACACATTTACATACATACAAACATACACAGCATTACTACTAGCGAGGAAGGGAAAGCACGAGCTAGACTTTGCGCTATTGGCATCTTTTGTCCAAAAGAGCAGCTGCAGGCCTCTTCTGCAGAATGAACAGAGACAGCGACCGCAGCAACAGCCGCCATAAGAAAGAGCTGCAAGTACGACAGGGTCCCAACGGTTCCAGACACGCACCACAAAAATACAGACATACGTAGACGAACACGTAAATGCAACGTGGTCATTGCATGCATGCACGCAAGTACATACCTGTCGTACTCTGCCGTATCACCAGCCCCCGTCGCGATGACGAGCATGTACCGCGGCGGCATACCCTCCCACAGCCGCTGTAGCCGGCTGTCGTACAAGACCAACAATTGATCAAATACGGCATCCGAGTAATCGGGCGTGGCTACAGATCCGGGCCCAGGTCCGGTTCCGGGACCTGCCGCATCATCCAGTCTGCCGTTCATGGGTGCCGTACATGACCCTGCCGCGTCAGCCGGACATCGACTTAGGTTTATTTTATTTGCCGTTACTGCTACGGCCTCTGCTGCTGCAGCTGCAGTAGCTGTAGCCGCAATCCGTGTCTTCGCTATAATCGTCGTCGTCGCCTGCTCCGCCGCCGTCGCTGCCTTGCCGCTGCCCTCCCTGCTGCCGCCGCCGCCTCCCCTGCCACCGGCGGCCCCCTCACCAGAGGCTTTCGCCCCCTCCGCCGCCCTCTCCTCCAGCCTCGCCTTGTGCCGCGCCCTGAAGGAGCCATACCAGCCACAAAGAAAGACAACATGCTTACCCATCACTGTGCGTCTGTCTGTATGTATGTATGAATGTTCATGGGGAGGACGCAGCCGGCGGTTTCGTATTTCTTACCTCCAAAATCCATAGCTCGCTGCGAACGACTAAAGCGAATTCGACAAATGAAGAAGGTCAAAACATGGATCAAAAAAACAATTCCCGATGCCGTTGACCAAAAAATATTTGGATTTACCCTGATTTTAAGGAGGAGGAAATCCAGATGATGCCTGAAGGGCACCAAGTGAAGAGGTCCACAAACCCGGAAGGAAAGAAAGAAACCAAGCCCGGTCACAACAAGGCTGCGGAAACTGCGGCACAGCCCTGGGTGCGGATGAGGATAAGGATAAACAACACAACCGAAAGTTCTAGAAGCTAAAACGACCTTAACCGTTTCCTGACAAAGGAAAAAGTGACAAGCGACACACACACACACACACACACACACAACGCAACAGACACGACTCTTCACTAAAAACAGAAAGCCTGCGCACGCGCCACACAAACTCCTCTTTTGCATTTTATCCCTCTCGTAAGGGAAAGGGGGGGTTTTAGACCTCAAGTGGTGTACTGCTACGTGGAGGTTGGTAGGGCGGACGAACGATAATGTCGTACAGATCGAGCGTTACATACCTTCGGAACATGAACACCGCCAGCTCCGTCAGCTGCGTCCACACCAATCCGTACGTACGAGAAGCCGCCTGGCGGCCCGCCGTGGCGACGGCGTCGTCACTCGCCACGGGTACCGCAGCCGTGCTACCAGTCACGAACCTATCTCACACCCCCACACCCCCGATTCGCCCGGGGTGTATGGGGCGGGAAAAGCGCGGTTAAGGGGAGGGGGAGTTAGGGTTTTAAATGAAGTGAAAGGTTTTGGAGTGACCCTTATACATCAGGCCAGCGAGACCCACCGACCCGCGGGTCGGTCCTACCACCGTTATCACGCTTTTAACCTTTGGAAAATTCCTGGACATATTCCTGGGCAGCCCGCACCCTACCTGCCCAGCACGTCATGTCGATCAACCAAGCAGCTTCGTGTCCCGCACTGCGCCGCGAGCACCTCAGCCAGCTTGGGGGCGGAGGTGTGGGGACCGGAGTGACCCCTGCCGTACGAGGGACCTGTTGCAGAGGGCGGGGGGAAGAGGGGGGGGAGAGGGGGTTACAGCAAGGTGCTTTTTAAATCATCAGGTAGCCCATCCAGCTTGGACTTTATTGGACCAATTCCACCTCCTCCCCCTCCTCTCGCAGACCCCTCCCCTACAAGCCGTCAGCACACGTGCCGTGTTTTATCTTGAGCAGGGCCAGATCCAGAGCTGTACGAGCATCCACCGCTGAGTCGTGCGCGCCATCCTGAATGGTACGACGAAGAAATCGACGAGCCAATATCTGCATATCATTGAGGGATGGGGAAGGGGGGGGGATGGATCCATATGTGAGAAATCCCTTTTTTGTGTGTATGTGTGTGTATGTGTGTGTGTCCACCGCACCCTCCCCCCTAACCACCCCAACCTCTCCCTCACCTTGAGCGCGCTCTTGAAGGGTGGTCCCTTAGGGTGCGGGAACAGTACGGCAGTGTCCAGTATACGGCCGTGACACGTCCGCAAGGCGGCCAGGTCGTTCTCAAGCGCGTGACCCACCAACAGACATTCCGATGACACCAGTGTCAGGAAGCGCTCCTTTGGGGGGGGGAGTTGGTAGGGGTTTTGGGGGGAGCCCAGGTCCCAAAACCGGGGGAGGAGGATGGGAAGAGGAATCATCATATACGACAGAAAGAAAAAAGAAAGAGTTCGCAAAGCGGAGAGAGATGTCGGCACGCCAAGGGGACGTGTGGCAGTGCGGCAGTGCGTCTAGGCTTTCCAGCCGGGCCTCTTCCCGCGTCCCCACTCACCCGCACATCCTCCAGTCGATTGGTACAGCCCTGCATGATCATACAGTTGTGGCTCATTGAGTATGTCAGCTGGAGATGATCAAACTTGAACTTGAAAGGAGAAAGCGGAGGCACAAGAGAAAGCGGAGGGGCAATCTTGAAACACACACCTACCCATACACACATACCATACAGACACACACGAGCACCTTCGGTCTGCCAGCCCTCCCCCCTGACCTCCAACATCTTTGACGTGATTCCGCTGTACCGCGTGTTGTAATCCAAAATTGGATTATGAGGAAGTACGAGCTCGTCCATCAGTACGGCGCCGCTGGGAAAGCCGGTCTTGCCGCCGCCGGTGCTGCTGCTGCTGCCGCCGCCGCCGCCACCCACAGACCTCCGTCCGCTGCGGCTAAATCCTTTCCCTTCCCCTCCTCCTTGGCCGTCATCATCGTCATCATCATCACCATTATCGTGTTGCTCTATATCACCGCTTCTAACGCCGTCAACGCTGCTGCTGCCGCCGTTGGCGGCGTGGCCGTTGCGTCTGGTGGCGGCGACGGCGGCGGCAGCAGCAGCGCCCGCCGCCGTGCCCGGCTCCCATCCCGGCCCGGCCACCAAACTAATCCGCGTGAGTTCAAAGCCCGCTTCCGTGATGCACATCTCACAGTCCAACGCAACCATTCGTTCGCTGGCCGTCGGGTCACCTGTACGACGGAGGAATGCTTTTAGGGGACTTTCAAAAATTCAGGGCATCAGGGCATCAACTTATAAGCTAGATTTTCCAACTTACTTTTCAAAGACAGCGACATCCACACAAGCCACGTAAGCAGTTTTGCACCGAACCCGCATCCTGTTTAGGTCCTTATTACCCGAAGGTCGCGTCGCCACAAAGCCCGGAGGACATACAAGCCGCCTCTGCGGGCGTCTTCGCGCGCCGCCGCCACCTTCTTCCTCCCCTCCTCGTTCCTCTCCCCCCGTCCCCTCTTCACCCTACTCCTCCTCCTCCTCCTCCTCCTCCTCCAAGTACGGCAACGGGTAGTTATGTTGCTTAAGCTCGTCCAATGATGCCACGTAGTGCGAGGGCAGGAAGGGACCTGGAGGCAACTGCACCGACGACGGCGGCGGCGGCGGCGGTGGAGCCCGACCGCCTTTCCCTCGCCGTTCCGCCGCGGCACCTTTTGGTGGCGCAAGGCTAGCAACCGCCGCCAGCGACCTCGCGTCTACGTCCTGTTGTTTCTGGTGCTGTTGAAAGCACACGCACAAGCGGGGGGAAGGGCTTACTCAGGGGGTTACTGACCGTGCTGTTTCAGAAACTTAATGTTTCATTAAAACAACTGAATGTGTTTTTATGTATTCGGCACATGACATCCCTTTCCCTGCTGGGACGTGTTTTTACCCCCGCACGCGTGTGTGCGTGTGTGCGTGCGTGTGTGTATTTCCACGGTGTGCCCGAGTCCCTTTGCCCATCTTCCAAACCACTGCTCGCTGTACTGCACGTTGTTGAATGGACTTGGATTTGGGTTTTCATTTTCCCCACACCTCTCCCCACCACCACCACCACCTCTCCCCTGGCGGCTACCTCGCCCACCCCCGCCCACGCACCCCACCACCAACCCACAGCACCTGCTGCCGTTTCTGTCGAACCTGGGTCGACCGGCTGTCGTACACACCTCGCCGCAAGCTAAACCCGGTAGGGGTGAAAGGGGGGGGGGAAGGGTGTGATTGAGCTTTGGGCTCTGGGAAGGGGCCCCCGGGGGGCGCGGGGGGCGCGGGCAGGATAAAAAACGGGGGAGTCCCGATTTCGGAAGAACGAGAAACCGCATGATGGCTTGTGGAATCATAGTAAGTAATTCAGTCATCAAGGGCAACAATGCATGGATCTGATCAACAAAAAAGCTTTTATAAATCCATTCTCTTCGGAAACAACTATCTTAGCTAATGTCGAATCCGGTTTAGCTTTAATCCCTTTGAAGGCGATGTAACTCACAATACGTGAATGTTCACTCGTCAAAACCCACATCAAAAAAGGGGGCCGGGATAAAGGGGGACTCACAGGGGGTCTACAGGACTCAAAGCCTGTGGTGACGGGTTTCCCTGCGGCTGCTGCGGCGGAATTGGGGCTCTGTCATATCTCCCCTCGCCCCCGGACTTCGCATGCCTTTCAGTAAGAAGATAAACCTCTAAAACCCGACAGACCCTCCTGAACTCCGTGAACAGCTCTGTCCCCCCCTTTCCCCCCCTTTCGTGGTCCGTCTCCCCCCTTTCCCCCCCGACCCCGTATCCCTTCCCTCCCTTCAGCTCACAACACAACGGAGCTCCTAACAACCAAGTTAAGTCAACGTAACGCCAAGCGAAAGAGATGCGCGCCGTCCGCCGCCGCCGGTGCCGCCGCCGGCGCAGTGGAAGGCACGGAGGACGGGGGAGGGGAGGAGGACAAGAAGGAAGCAACCGCTGGCGGGTCAGTGGCGGCGACCACCGCGGGCCGTGGTGGCGGTGGCGGCGCCGCCCCCTTCCTTCTCCGGAGGCCGCTGCGGCTGCCGGCCTGACGTGGTGTACGGAGGCCGTACTCGGCACCCATTTCCCCGTGGGGGCCGATGACGCCTGCGTGTCAGAGAAAGACGTCAAAACACAACATCGACACGATAAACACACATATCTACATACACGCACACACTCTCTGTTGTCGTTAAGCATACACGTGCACAGGCATAAAGCGGGACAAGCATATGCAGGCTGTTAAGGAGGCTGCATGCACGCGGGGGGTGATACGCAGCCCAACCTCCCTAGTGGGTGTGCGCGCACGCGCATGTAGTCTACACTCAAATCATCGTGTGGCGAATTTCCCCCCGGGTACATATCACCTGGTTCGCCACCGTAGCGGATCATCCCGCCCTTCACCCCACGCCGTATACCTCGCGACTGTAGCTACCAAGTTTCCGTCATCTCCCCTTCCACCCCCACCCGCACCAACGCCCGTACCCGCACCCATACCCACACCCATACCCACACCCGCATCCGCACCTCGCCTGCCTCGCCTGCCTCGCTGTCCGCCTTTCCTCTCTCACCTCCCAATGGGCCCCCGCTAGCTCCGCCCCCCCCCACATCCGATAAACTCTCTCTCTCTCTCACCTGCCGCCCCCCCTAGCTCCGGAATATCGTCCGCGGGTCCCCCCCGGGTATTCTCCGTACCGCTGCCCGCCACCTCACGATCGTGCCGGGCTACCTTTTCATGCAGCTGCAAACCCTCCCCCAGCTGCTCCTGATGTACACTGCGGGTACGAGGGAGGTCGCCGACGGCGGGGTGGTGGTGGCGGCCGTCGCTGTCGTCACCGGCAGTGGCAGTAGTGGTGGTGGCCGGCTGCCGCCAGGCCTCGGTCGGGGACAAGCCCAGCGTGGTGGCTGTTGGGCCCGGGCTCGAATGAGGGGTAGTAGCGCCTGCAGGAGGCGGGAAGGGTGTATCGGACTCGTAAACATGCAACAAACACAGCAGCACATATACACGCGGATTACGAGCGGAAACTCTGTGGACAGATGGATACGTAGAACCGGGTCTGGATGTGTGTGTATTTGTGTGTGCGAGTGTATGTGGGGGCCGATCGAAATACCGACCTAGTGACCCATGGGTCACTGGTGCCGATACGGGCGGCAATTTTCATCGGGACCACGACCTCTCTCCCCACTTCTCAATGGTTTACATTGCATGGTCAGAGTCAAGCCCCCTGCCAAGTGAGGACTCGTGGCCGTGAGGGCG